AGAACAGTGATGACAAACTGAGTAATACCTATTGTATTGTTCTTCAGCTGATGATACTAGTTATCGTCAGTGTCATTAACATCAGCATACATGTACTTGTGCCCCAAAGCATATGGTTTGCCCGCAGAAATAGGATCATCACGAAGTTCATCTGTAGTACCAATGCACGCTCTGACATCATCAATAGTTCGGATTGCTACAACGACATCTCGCAGAGGTTGCTGGTCGGAGGTATGAATATTATGAAGTATAGTGAGTGAGATGCAGTTTAGGCGCCCGTAATACCGGATTTTACTAAAATAGTTTTAATATTATTTTGAATTATATTAAAACTATTTTAGTAATATCCTTAAAAATATTTTATAAATGCGAGGTGCCATTAGGTCAGCACCAGAGATGTGGCATCCCAGTTTCTATTAAAGGAGAGCTGGCGAGCAAATCGCTACAAAAACGTGCTACATAAGTATTTATGAAAAATAGCAATAGGAATTTTAAAATATCACTAACCTCTCAGCCTCAAATTCTTATTTGAAATTTTATGCTAAATCATCAGTTTGCAAAAAATGCGGCGCAGCCGAACTCGCAGTCGTAGCGGATCCCTGGACAGCTTAGGACGTCGCCGACGTCGCGACACGTCGTCCTACAGCAGTCGTCACCGCCGCTCCGTTTCTTCTTCCCGTTCTCGCTCCCCTTCTCCTTCTTATGGGCGTCGCAGGAGCCGCCGGAGTCGCAGTAGAAGTCGTGGACGCAATCGGAGCCGCCGTCGTCGATCCTACAGCCGCAGCAGGTCCAAGAGCCGATCGCCAGGGCGTCGTCGTCGCTCTACCTCCCGCTCAAAGTCGCGTAGGACGAAGGCTGGAGCGAAGGAGGAGCCCAAGCCACAGGGCGAACTGCAGCAAGAGGAGACCAACACTCTGTCGCACTTAAGTGAAGAGGAGCAAATGAAGTTGCTGCTCGGTATTGGAGGCTTCGACTCGACGAAGGGGAAGACGGTAGATGAGAATTTGAAGAGCGCAGCCGTGGGTACAGTGCGACGCGAGACGAAGAGAGAATACAGGCAGTACATGAACCGCAGAGGAGGATTCAACCGCCCTCTAGACAAATCGTAGGGTCCTCATATTCTCAACATTAGAGCAATTTTTCATCGAAATAAAGCATTACTTGATGTTTTATTGTGAAAAATGATTTCTGAAAAATCAGGATAGTCAGCGACTAGTCCAGAGGGACGTTCCATCTCTTTATTTCTGTGATCTTACACCAACCATGAGCTCTGAGTGGGAAGAAGCGTTTGACGAAGTCTCTGGCCGTGCCTACTACTTCAATCGTGTGTATGTACCAGCATATCTTCACCTATAAAGTAAAGAAAAAATAGTGCCATATCACTCTTTATCATGTTTTAAACAGCACAGGAGAAACCTCATGGACTCTGCCAGGTGAAGATACAGCTGAATCCAGAGCTTCGACTGAGAATGAATGGCAAGAGAGTTTTGATGAAGCCTCGCAGACGGTTTATTACTACAACATTCACACTGGAGAGACATCCTGGACGCTACCTGAAGAGAATGGAGACGAAATCGGCCATTCTTACTTAGTTTTCGCTGTCGTCCGACTGCAGTCTATGTTTCGCGGTATGAAAGACCGAAAGCGAGCTCGTCGACTGGTTGCGGCTCAGTACCAGTGTACTACAGATCCAGACACTGGGAAAATATTGTATACTAATCTAGACACCAACACTTCTTCGTGGACTAAACCAGCGTTGTTTGGTCCGCTTCAGATTCCTGATAACGGTGAGATCGAAGAAGAAGAGGAAGATGCGGATGACGACGACTTTGATGGGTTTCAACAGGACGCTGCTGAAGACGCTGAAGACGAAGATACTACAGCAGAGATAGCTGGGAATGACGTTGAGGTTGAACTGAACGAAGTGACTGAGAAGAGGCAGCGTAAGTATCCTCGCTCTAAAGCTCAGCAAATTGTTGATGCTGCTGAGGACGCAGAACAGGCTCAGTTGCTGGATATGAGTGGCCTGGACGCTTGGAAACTGTCGTCTCGTATCTGGAATCTCTTGTATCTGAAGAAACTCGTGCTTTCCAACAATTGTTTAAAACGAATTCCATCCGGAATTCAAGACTTAATTCATCTCGAGGAATTGGATGTGAGCCACAATCAACTCACTAGACTCCCGTCATGTTTGCAGACAACGACGACGTTGGCTTCGATTCGAGCGGCTTACAATCTTATCCAGACATTTTCTCCGAAGTTGTGGAAGCTACGAGAGATTCGGCATCTGGATCTATCACACAATCGACTTAAAGAATTGCCATTCGTAGAAGGGGACTTGAAACTACTTCGAGAAACACGGGAGTGGCAAGTCGGTGTGGGGCTGTTGGTACAGCTAGAAGTGTTACTTCTAAACAGCAACCAACTGGTCCAAGTTCCCAAGTCGATTGAGAAATGTAGCCATCTCACAGTACTGGACATGTCGAACAACCAGCTCACTACACTTAGCGACGAAGTATCTGCTCTTGCTTCGCTGGAAAGATTGACACTTCACCACAATGCTCTATGTGAATTACCAGACACTATTGGCAGTCTGACACATTTGCAAGAATTGGATCTGGCACATAACCGCTTGTTAGCTCTGCCTGATAGCATCGGAATGCTACACAATCTCGAGACACTGAACCTGTTTTCCAACCAATTGAGACTTCTACCCACGGAGTTTGGCTCACTTGGTCAACTACGTCATCTCGATCTCAATAACAATCCAAAAATCATCAACCTCGAGGCCTTTTTCAGACATCTCCCAAGTGTTGAATTCTTCTCTGCGTCATCGTGTGGGATCATAGCATTCGAGTCGTTGGATTTTCTTAAAGATTCGCCAGTTCAGAGGCTTCGACTCAGTCAAAACGCACTGGTAGAATTCCCGTTACTCATTGGACATGCCGCAATGCAAGACACGCTCCAAGAGCTCGTACTCGCAGGTAACGTCCTCGCTCAAGTTCCATTAGCAGTGTTATTATACTGCAGTCATTTACAGTATTTCGATCTCTCGAACAATTCACTACGAGTCTTGCCGACTGAAATTGGTCATCTTCGACGACTGGAAGTGCTAAATTTGAATCATAATTCACTCCAGGAGCTTCCAGATGAGCTGTCACAGCTTCCTCGTCTAAAAGAACTTCAGTGTGATCATAACCAACTCGAACAGTTACCACTCCGGTTAGGTAACTTAGTTCAATTAAGCAAGTTGAGCGTGTCATTTAACCGACTTCGTTCCATGCCGACGTCGCTGATGGAGTTAACGCAACTGCAATCTCTGCATGCTAGTGACAACTTGATTGCTACACCTCCGCCAGCGCTTTACCACGTGAAGTGCTTCTGTGACTTTTCCAACAATCCATTTACGACTCAACTGCACCAGCAGCAACAGAGGCTGCGAGACCGTCACGCGCTTGCGTTGAAATATGTTGATACAGGAGAGTACGACAAAGCAGAAGAACTACTGACGAAATTGATAGAGGAAGAGAAGACACTTCCTTACGTCGAGCAGAAACGTGAGAGACCGCAATTGCATTATAAACGCGGTTTCTGTCGTTTTATGCTGGTAAGTATTTTTCGCCGATAGGTACGATTATTAGCTAACAGTGCCTGCCTTCTTTCTATTTGGCTGTAACATAGATGAAGAACGCAAGACAAGTGATCGATGAAACGTCCGTTATGATAAGCGATTACGAGAAGGAATTGCATGGAGTTGAGTTGACACAGACTCATCATCTTCGACTAAAGAATAAGCAGAAGGAAAGTTACGAAGAGCGACCAGAATCACAAGATAAATCAGACAACAAAAGCTCTCAACCCAAACACTCGGTGAATAATGAGTATACTGAGGCCGTAGACAGACGTGCTCAAGCCCGGCAAGATCATGAAATATTTGCTAATGGAGCACTGACAGATCTACATGAGGCAATTAAATCAGGGTGCATCGAGCTCACAACGGCATTTCATCTGAAAGGCCTTGTTCACATGGCTTTGTATCAATATCCCGATGCCATTGACAATTTTACAACAGCACTAAAAGAAGTTCACGCTCCACTTCCAGATACCGACATCACGGACAATCAGCAAGAAGTGATTGAAGAGCTGGAGCCCATAACGACTATTCCTGAAGCCAGTATTCAGCTTTTCTTGTATCGTGCCGAAGCCTATCGTGGTCTTGGGCAGCTTCCATTGGCCATCGCTGACTTACACCACATCATTTCACACTATCCTATCCAACTTGACAGCTCGAGTATTGCAATTCTTAAAAAGGAGTACCTTCAAGCGTGGGAAGCCGAGCAAGCGGGCTGCAATGTCGATGACGCTGCTCTCTTACGTGCCTTTAATATCGAGACTCGATCGGGACTTGCTCGACGACTGGAAGTACTTGATGTTCGTGCTGAAGCTCTAGCAGCAGCAAACGCCAAGGAAAGAGCAGGTAGTAAAAAAGCTGTCGCTAGTAAGCGAGCATCTCCAGCCGAACGCTTCTGGCTTGAGTGTGAAGCGCACACAGAGCTGCTGATAACAGAGCGAAAGAAAGCACGAGCCCCGTTTGAAGAGATAAGCGCACACAGTCGAGTTTTCTTGGATCGAGCACGAGACTTTAAACGCGAGATTCGAGCTACTCTGCAGATGGAGATGGAGGAGAATCGACAACAGCATGTCGAGAGAGAAATCGCCCGTGAAGCGGAGAGGAGACGGATCGAACTACAGCGTGAAGTCGATGAGCAGATGTTCATGAAGTACGAAGACGAGTGGATGCACTGGTTTGTGAGTGAGGAAATTCGACTTGAAAATGAGCGAAGACTTCGCGTAGATGAAGCTCAAAGACGAGCAGACGCTAAAGTCGCATACGCTGCGAGACTGTCGAAACGCGGTGGCAAGCGGCAGGCTGCTGTTGGTCAACGGGGTAAAGGAAGCTCAAAACGCTAATTGAATATTACAATACGTACAATGTCAGTAACTTCTTCATCGAAGCTGATGATATGAACGTTTGGAAGCTGGTGCCCTCATCTCATCAGACCCCTGATCGTATAATGAGGATGCAAAACCTCGAGGTTATGGATGAATATAATCACTTATCCGACCTCACTTAATTTTTGTATGGGACATGGGGGCTCATTATCGACCAATTAGCGATTTGTAATTAGGTCGACCCAATCGAAATTCTTCAATCTTTTCTTTTAAGCCAATCAGATTGTGGAAGATGTGGTAGGTCCTCTACGCCAGCCATTCTGACGTATCGGGTCGGGGGCGGACGAAAAATATGTATATCCGTCTACAAACTCCAAGTGAAAGGCATATCACGTGGATATTTGCAGTCCATCCGTCCTATCCGACCAGGATGGGCTTAGACGAGCTAAAACCTGGCAACACCAAGCGCGCCAAGGAAACAGCCATCAAAGTGTTTAAGACGTTCGTAAAGAGCGAAGATGTTGAGTTTAACTATGTTAAGCAATGCATTGAACAGGATGGTACAGGTAATTCTTTGGTGTCTGTGTTAGACAAGTTTGGCATGTATCTTGCGTTTAACGAGGGCAAGAAGGGCAAACCACTTGCCTGGAACACCTCCATGCAGTATTACAGACAGAGTAAGATGTGGCTTTTTGAGCTCTTCCCCGTGCAACGGCACATTGTCGAAGCAAAGTTGCTTAGCATGGGGAAGACGCTCGAACGCTATTGCATGAAGCGAGACGGAAAGGTAGTTAACAAAGCACCACCATGCTCAAAGCGTGACTTAAA